AAATCAAAACCAATTTATTAGGCAAACAAAAGGAAAACAACACATTCACATCTTCTTTTTTATACAGTCAATATTGTCTATCACTCGTTTAATCGCAGGATGTGTTGGTGGGAGCGCTTTTTGTCGAATAGTAAGTGTCTTTTCTAAAAATAAAAGTGCTTTAGAGTAGTCACCCATTTTGTCGTGCAATAAACCGATGTGAGCATAGGAAGTAGCCAAATCAGGATGGTTTGAAGGAAGAGTTTTTTGCCAGATTTCTAGTGCGTTTTGATGAGATGACAGTGCATTCGAATAGTCATCCATCTTGTTATACACCGAACCAATGTTGTTGTATGAATTAGCCACATCAGGATGATTAGAAGGAAGAGTTTTTTGGCGAATTTCCAGTGCCTTTTGATGAGATGTAAGTGCATTCGAATAATCACCCATTTTGTTATACACAATACCAATGTTGTTGTAAGATCGTGCCAAATCAGGATGATTTGAAGGAAGAGTGTTTTGACGAATTTCCAGTGCTTTTCGATGAGATGAAAGTGCATTCGAATAATCACCCATCTTGTTATACACAATACCAATGTTGTTGTAAGAAGTAGCCACATCAGGATGATTAAAAGGAAGAGTTTTTTGGCGAATTTCAAGTGCTTTTTGATGAGACGAAAGTGCATTCGAATAATCACCCATGTGCTCATACACTGAGCCAATGTTGTTGTAAGAAGTAGCCACATCAGGATGATTTGCAGGAAGAGTTTTTTGGTGAATTTCCAGTGCCTTTTGATGAGATGATAGTGTATTCGAATAGTCACCCATGTGCTCATACGCCACACCAATGGCGCTATAAGAAGCCGCCAAATTGGTATCCGTTGGCGAGAGGATCGTCTCTGCGATTGCAATAGATTTTGCATAATATGCAATGGCATCTTTATATTCACCTTGACCATCCTTGACCATGCCTAGCATATGATAAATGTGAGCTTTTTCGCGATCAGTCATTGCCTGATCCAACAGGATATGATATACTTCTTGAGCTTTGCTGAACTGTCCAAGCTTTATTAATAACATACCCAAACGATCCCATCCTTCGAGGTGAGGATAAGTATCTTTGCGCGTCTGCTCAGTAAGTGCATGGAGATCTGGATCGTTGTCACTAGTCAATGTTAAATCGACTTGCCAAAGTTGATTATTTCCATCGATTTGTTTCATTGATCCTATACGAAAAATAGAATGCATGGCGAAGAGAATTTCTTCTTCTTGTTGGAAATAGCTAACATCACAGACATTAGCGAATGGTGTTGACGGAATAGAAGGATCAATTTTCATGACGAATAAAATACCAGTCAGGTCGGAGGTTTCCATAGTTTTACGAGCAAAAGTGAGAGATACTTCTCGATCGAGACTTGTCGATAAAAAATTATTAAATGACAAAAGTCCACCTTGTGTCTTCATCATTCGATCAAAGTGGTCTTTCGATAATCCTTGACCACGATAAACAGCAAACGATATTATGTGTGCATTTTCAACGTATTGTTTCTTATGAAGCTCGACGATGTGATTGTGGAGGTCACGAATAAAAAATCCTAAGCTTATGATGAGATCGATCTCCATCGTTCGTAATGACCGATTGAGCATCGAGTACAAAAAACATTGGTTAGTATACCACCAAATTGGAAAATGCTTAAAATATTCATGTTCGAGTTTATTGATATATTGAAGTTCATATGGATTATCGGCGAAAACGTCGCGGCAGTACATAGTAAATTCCTTGATGTGTTGTTCATTGAAATCGATTGTAAGTAAAATTTCCTTCATTATTTGTGTGTACATAAACGAAGAATCTAATTGATTGAGGTTTTGCTTAGTAGACTCACTATCAGTAGTGACAAAACTGATGGATATCATGTTTTGATCACATTCTTGTGCGGATTCTTGAAGGCCTTTATAGATCGAAGTAATATCTGTAAAGATTCCTTTGATTTTTGGCCACTGTTTGGTCCATTGTCCATGCCGAACTTGGTTTTGACAAAAAATGTAAATTGCACTGACCTGAGGCATATCATGTACCATTGGAACTATTATTTGTCCTAATGCACCAGAGACGATCATAAATAATTTGTCTTGTTTGAAGTCACTAATAAAATTAATACATTCATCAACATTTGTGAATTTATGGACCTTGTTGACTACTTCTTTTAATTTTGACATTGTATTTTTGCAATCTTTGTTGTTTTCTGTATCGATGTTGCTATCGAGCCAAACCAGTAAAAAGTTCTGAACCATACGAGTAGGAAGAAGCCGTCGTGATCTTATGCTCGTAGGTTCAGATGTTAGAGCAGTAGCAGTTGTTGTTGTTATCGGGTTTTTCGTTTTATCCATGACGTGTATGTTGTTTTATCAATGAAAACAAATAAAAGCACTTGACTTTATACAGTATGTGGAATACTTTTTTCTAGATACCTCTATTTATTTTCGATTGTTGGTGTCTTCAGAGTTGTTTTTTTTCGTTTCACTTGATTGCTTCACTCCTCTTTTTTATATATGGTTGCTGATAGTGTCACAAGACTACGAACGAGTGAAAAATGATTCATTGCAACATAATTTCATAAACTGTGTCACGTTTTTCTTTCTTTTTATGATGTCTGAAAGTTTCTTCTCGTCCTCACCTAATGTTACCGTAAATGTCTTTGTACATAGAAGCAGATCAATATGCATTGCTGTTTGAAAATGAATGACGAATTATTATTTCAGTAGGTTATCTTTTGCGTAATTGAAAGTCCAGCATCATACGAAGCCGATGAAAGCATAGATAGAAGGTTACTATTGATGTTCTCATAGTATTCTTAAGAAAAAACTAAATGAAACTATCATCATTAACCTTTTTTTAAACAGAGATAGCCTATGATATTTTTCCATAGTTATTAAATTATGTTGTTTTAATTTTTATCCAATTTCAAAATCAGTTCATTTTGCATATGTATTCCGAAATCCGAACTAACTTTCTCATTTATGCGTTTATAAAATTATTTGAATTGTGAGTGCGAGACTGGTTTTCATTATATAAAAAAAACAGACATCACTTCGAGAATCGCCATTTTGTAGAGCAAATTGAGAACCGTCGACACTTCATATTGATATTTCGAAAAAAATCGATCATATAGGAACATGAAATTTTGTAACAATGTTTGAACGAAAATTTTGAGTCCAATTTTTAATTATCGCGACACACAAAGACAGTTTCGCGTTATTTGTCGAAAATGATTTATATACTATTTATTCGTTGATACTTTTTAAAATAGACATTGATGAAGATTGGTCTATTAGACAAAGAATTTAGTAATCAAAGACTCCTACATATAGCTAATGCACTACAAGAAATACCTAAAGCCTTATAAAATAATATTGTAAGATAATATGTATATACTCATCTACTCTACACTTATTTTTTTTAAAAAGAATACTCACAATCAAGTCGGAAATGTGGAAATGATATACGTTACTAATGCATTCAAAAGATAATTCAGTGAGATTCATATTAGACTTTATCATTCAACATAGACGTCTATACAGCTGAATCTTGCATCTAAGAATCAGCAAACCAAGGAGTACAATATTTAACTTATGCATTCTTCAGAATAGATTAACACAAGCTTTTATCTTTCTAACAACAACATCTCGATGCATTTATTGTATGCGTAACAGATATTCTTTGTTATTAGTTTTTTTTCTTCAAGTTGCACGATGCTCTATCTTTCACGAAAATATTTTATATTTTTGCAATAGAAGTATTCGCATCAAATACACAGCGAAAGTGAACTAGAATCAATTACAATAGTATTAATACAATTGTATTGATAATCTTTTTCTATTAATGGATGTCAACATTTGTCAAATTATGCTTTTGTTTAAATAGGAATGTAGTTTCTCCCTTTAACTGTCGAAAATGGTTCTAGTGAATGAACCTGATTTCGATTTAAGTCCTTCCAAGCAGAGATGTGCAGAACTATCCTATTCTACCTTGCACATCTCTACTTTAACGATTTTTTAGTAAATACAAACGTTAATTGTTTTATCGAAAACAAAACTCATAATTACTTTGATTAAAGTCAACTTTTTCCGTTTAAAGTGTTTATATTCTGGTTAAAACTCGATTTTAAACTTCCTGAGGTTATTTAACGCACAGGGTTTTATTTGTCGAGAGAGAGATTGATTATTATATTTTTTTGCTAAAATTTATTTCATTGTAAATATTACATTTTTTTGTTTTGCTTTTTTTATCATCAAAAACTTAATAAAACAAAAATTATTTGAAAGATAAAAGATGTGATGGTAACAGTGAAGTTGGAACCGATTGTTACCTAACAAAATAAAACATGTATATATACATGTGCATTTCGACTTACGAGAGAATTATTCCAAGTGTCAAATCACTTTTCGATCGAGATGATGTTTGTTTAATGAATACTAGTGAGTAACAGAGAAGTGGGGATTAGTTTGATTTTCCGAGTCTTTATTCTTTCGATATCGAAGTTTTACAAGGTTTCTCAACAAATAGCTATAGTCCCTATCAAGTCAAGTTCCACTTTCGACTCTAAACTTTGGACGAACAAAGTTTTTAATGAGATTAGCTGATCATACAACTTTTAGCTTTTCTCTTATTTCCTTTTTAGAGATGTAAGTATATGAACACAATTTTCTTTTTATACATGAGAGAATTTCGAATCAGAGTTTTTCACAATGTTACTGGAACTTATTGACAATATCGAGGTCGCTCTAGATTCAACTTCTTCTTAAGTTTAATAGTACAGAATTGGAGAAGAACAAGTAATGCGATTGAAAAGTGTCCATACGTAAGATATCTAAAAATTAAGTGCATTAATGTATCAGGGTGTGGGTGAGTGTCAGTGTCAGTGAAGACAATATCTATACCCACACCCATAAATCAATTTGAATTATATTATGAGGGTGTGGGTGTGGATGTGAGTATCAGTATAAACCACACCCTCATCCACACCGACACTCACACCCCACACACCCACACTTACGACACTAAATCTCCAACACAATAAAAATCCAAGTTTTCAGAGCACAATATCTGGTTGATACGTTAAAGAAGAACGCGGTTATTATCATTCTCTTTTCATTGTTATCATGCAGACGTCTGGACTTTTCATAGAGACACTCATCACCCTGGATCTCACTGACAATGAAATTGGAGAAGAAGGTAAACGTCGTGCGAAGAAACTGATCGATTGGAATAATCGGCGGACGGAGTCATGAACATTAGAAATAAAGATTGTGTGTTGGAGAACTGAACACATTTAATGTCTTTTTTTCTGAAGAATGATTACTCAAATGAGTCTCACTAGGTGTGATCTTGTCGGACGGGCTTCAGCTCCGTTTACACCTGACCATCGGATCTTTTCCGACGAAATCCGGTCCGGAATCTTATTCACAGGATTCTGACACAGACCAGCACAGATTCGATTAATGTTTTGCTAGAAGACGTCTGCTTCCGGAGCAATCCGATACCAGATTTGACTCACTCTGGTAGGATCCTCAAACCGCTTTAGATCAACTCCCGTATGAATCTCGCGGCGTCCAATCTCGTAGAGCTGCTGTCAGATCCGTTTGCACACGACAATCGAACATTTTCTAAAGCAATTGGGCTAGGAATCCTATATAAGGAATTCGACATGAACCAAATCGGATCCGATTGATTTTTCGACCGAAAACGCCTGTTTCTGGAGCCATTCTGTATCAGATTCGATGCTTTCCGACAGAATTCTCTGCACAATATGGCAGCAGATATCTCGTTTGCAGGAAGAAGATAGAACAATATTATTTCTATCAGAGATGAGCGAGTCAGCAAAAAAGTCGCACCGTCACCGCGCCGTCCCGCACCGCCGATAAAGTTCCGCACCGTCACCGCCCCGCCCCGCCCCGTCAAAAATATGTTTTAAAAAACTATTTATTGACAAATTTTTCATTAAATTTTCATAATGGCTATTTCATTTCATGAGATGAAGAGGCATATTTTAAATACATAAACATCGTTCCGAAATAGAAAAAAACAAATATATGAAAATGAAAGGCAATTATAATACAGTCACTCATTTTGTGGAACTCACGTATATTTTCGAATAAAATAGTGATTGTAAGTTTTAAGTTCGAGGTTTGGCGGCTCTCTCCCTTCTCCCACTCCATTACAGACTCTCCACTCAGGGTTGCCAGATCTTTCGATACGGCAGGAAAAATTGCGATTTTTTAAAAGTTTCTCCAACGACTTTCTGACGTTCCGATTTTTCCGATTTTAACATATTTTTCCGATCGCATTCAGATTTCCTAATTTTTCTCCGGTTTTCGAAGTCTTATTTGGGAATTCAAGTTCTTAGGACATTCTAGAATAGTTTAACCATGACACGACACCACACATATATAGCGATCTATTTCAC